CCATTCCCACGACCCTTCAAAACACCTCATCTTCCCCACATACTCCACATGATCCATCCCCCACCATCTTCCGATACAATAACAACACTAGCAAGGAGAATTCCATGTAAAACCTTAGACATAACCACAGGTTACCTCGGAGGGATACATAATTTCGCAAACCTACTCCAAATGTTCCACCAATCATACATAAGATACAATGATATTACAGGAGCCCTTATATCTGCCATCAGCACGTTGTACAACACCTCAATCTTAAGCTGTCCCGGCTCCCTCACCGACATCATCACCCTCACCAGCCGCAAAATTATCTCTAAGATCAGTGCCTCTAAAAGTATTAACATACCATACACTCGCTCAAGACATCTCTTTATAAAGAACCCTACATGCAGCACTTCCCTTTGAGCATAAACACAAAACACGTTTCCGGAGATCGAATAACGTCAATCCTCCTCTTCTCAGTGTTAACGTGATCACTTCCCTCCTCAACCACAAGAACCGAAAAATTCTCCCTTGAATCCTTCGTATCATAACACTAGTTAAAGGGTAAACGTTGGCGGCATGACATGCCTTACTATACATGAGGGAATTTACAGTAATGGCTCTCTGCAATAGTGTTAAGTGATAAGGTTGGATTCCCTGTAATCGATTAAAAATACTTTTCTCCACTTCGATTTACTGTTTTCGCCTTCTCTGTATCATCTGCACACACAATCCCACATATCTTTAAAGACCTTACCACATTCGTTATTATTGAGCATTCCCAATCCCTACGGTGAATCCACTCACCAAAACCCAAGATTTTTAGATTTATCTAAATTCACGTTCATACCCATATGCAACATATGGGAATCTTTATTCAGGAAACGTTTCGCCACACAGTGGCTTCATCAGTCCAATACAAAGCAGAAGGTGTAAGGAGGAGGAGGAGTTTGAGATAATCAGTCCCTCAGCCATATGTTGCATAAGTGTCTCAGTCTTCAACTTGTCGGTTTTTCAAACCATTCATCACAACGTTCATGCCCGACGCCTTCCCCAACGTCCCAACTACCCTTTCTAGAGCTTGAAGTGTATGCTCGTTCACTAATAACGTCGTTTCATCAACATATCCCACAGTTACTTGCATAACTCTCCTACCCACACTCATTATCCTACCATCCTTCACCATCCTATAGAACGGGTCCTGCAGATATGCGAAGAGCATATGAGACGGTGGACAACACTGCCTTAAACCTCTAGAGTTTACCTGGGGTAAACCAGAGGTCAAAGCCCCCGCGGCCCGGTCTGTGACCAGGGCTCATGGTGGATCAGGGCCTGATCAACCAGGCTGTTACTGTTGGCCGCACACAAACCGACGTACGAACTGCAGCCCGGCTGGTCAGGTACTGACTTTAGGTGAATGTTCGGTGCCTGCTTGAAGACAACCAGGGAACAATTGGTAATCCCCCTTATGTATGCTGGAAGACAGTTGAACAGTCTTGGGCCTCTGACACAATAAGTGTCAGGGGCCCGGTAGTATCTTCTAAGTGTATATAATCATGCATCTCTCCCGCCTGCGTTCTAGCGAGTACAGGTTGAGGAACTTCAAGCGTTCCCAGTAATTCAGGCGTTTTATCGCAGTTATGAATGCCGTGAAGGTTCTCTCTACATTTTCTAGGACAGCAATCTCGCCTGCCTTGAAAAGTGCTATTAGTGTGCAGCAATATTCCAAACTAAATAGAACAAGCGACCTGAAGAGTGTCATCATGGGCTTGGTATCCCTAGTTTTTAAAGTTCTCATTATCCATCCTGTCATTTTTCTGTCAGATGCGATTGATACAATGTTATGGCCTTTGAAGGTGAGATCTTCTGACATGATCACTCCCAGGTCTTTTACATTAGTTTCTCGCTCTACTGTATGGTTGGAATTTGTTTTATACTCCGACGTAGTTTTGATTTCCTCACATTTTCCATATCGGAGTAATTGAAATTTCTCATCATTGAACTTCACATTGTTTTCTGCAGCCCATTTAAAGATTTGGTTGATGTCCGCCTGGAGTCTTGCAGTGTCTTCAATGGAAGACACTGTCATGCAAATTCGGGTGTCATCTGCAAAGGAAGACACGACGCTGTGGCTAATATTCCTGTCTATGTCCGATATGAGGATGAGGAACGAGATGGGAGCGAGTACTGTGCCTTGTGGAACAGAGCTTTTCACCGTAGCTGCCTCAGACTTTACTCTGTTTACTACTACCCTTTGTGTTCTACCTTCGGGTGCATCCCACATAATCTACCGTTTACTTGAACTCTAGCAATTGGTCTACAATACTAAGTATACACCCACCTTACTATTTCCTCCTTAAACTTCTACTTACGTAGGATATGATGCCTCGTTTCCCTTTCCACCGAAACATGCACTCCTCTCTAGTCAAGGGCAAATAATGCCTCTCCTTCCCTTCTCTTGTAGTGCACTCACAAAATCAACAAGAATTGAAGTCCCGCTAACATGGACCAACCTGGAATACCATTCTGTCCGGGTGTAACGACACGACCCACTACACACTTTATGCGATTACCCAACACCTTGCTAAAGAGTTTATAATCCACGCATAAAAATGAACTACCACGATAATCACAAATACCTACCTGCTTCTTGCCCTTTGTGACCACCACCACGACCACCGTCGACTGTACAGATCCCAATCTTCCCCCGTCTTTTATTGCATTAATCATACACACCAAAAACCCTCGCAATAATTCCCAATTCTTGACATAAAATTCAACCAGAATACCATCAGTTCCCGGGGGTTTACCCGATGCCATTGCATACAGAGCCCTAAAAATTTCCTTCTCTTCAATATCTGCCCCCAACGCGATATTCACTATATTCTCTCATGAACGTCGATGTTTTTTCTTAATCACACAATTCCAGTCCAACCCCATAAATGATTAGTCGGGCAATGACGTAAAGAAAAATACTAAATCAGCCCTAATAAAAGTATTTTTAATGCTCATATTCCCATCCACTGGCACATACACACATGTAAGAGCCAGGGAAGGTCTGCCAAGCTCCATCCACACGTATAACATGACCAGCTCCTCCATTTTCACTACGATGATACACATACGGGCATGATTTACTAAGACGGCCACATCCCCTTTCAAACGAACAGTAGGCAACACATGACCGCATAACTTGGATGACTGTGATCTCTGACATGACAAAAAAGCATTGTTAGTGTCGGCAAGCCTAACACTACTTTTGTGCTCCCTAAGTCTGTCAGAAAGAGATCGGTCAGTTTCTCCAAAGTATTGAAGAGGACAGGAGGAACAAGAAATAAAGTAGACACCAGGAGCATCTGTAGAGGGAAGAGAGGTATGAACGAGATTAGCGTGAAGAGTGTTAGTCTGGCGGAAAGTAAGTTTGGTGTCTAAGGAGCGGTAGAGTTGTTGAGATTAGAAAGACCGGAAATGTAGGGAAGACAGAGGACAGAAGAGTTCCCAGGAGTAGAGAACTCTTACTTTCTGCCAGACTAACACTCTTCGCACTAATCTCGTTCGTACCACTTTTCCCTCTATTGAGGCTCCTGGTGTCTTCTCTATTTCTTGTTCCTCCTGTCCTTCTCAGTACTTTGGAGAAACTGGCCGATCAATTTCTGACAGACTTAGGGAGCACAAAAGTAGTGTTAGGCTGGCCGACACTAACAACGCTCTTTCCTGTCATGTCAGAGATCACAGTCATCCTGTTGACTGGTCTTCTGCTAAAACGATCTTCCCTACTTCCAACTTTAACAGTCGCCGTCTGGTTGAATCCTCCCTAATACACAACTTTCCATGTATGAATCTTAGCCCTGGCTTCGTCTCTGTAGATGCCTTCTTTTCCCACTACATTGTAAAATACTCCAGACTTCAGAACACCCGAGACTTAACCTGATTCATTTTTCTTCTTCTCCCTCTTCCCTTACCTCTTTCTCCTTTGGGGTGTCTTTCTTCTGCCTTGGGTATTTGTTCCTTCATTATCTATTCCCCTCCCTTCCCTATGTGCTCTTGCTCTTACCCTCTGTTGGCCCCTAGCTTCCTTGCAGTGCTCCTCTTTTTTAGCATTTGACTGGCTCCACCTCCACCATACTACCTTCCCCACTGCTACCTTCTACCTCCACTACTACTACTACTACCACCTCCTGGCCTATATATACTTCCTCCTATCCTATCCAAGGCGAACCGAAACGTCGTCGTAAGCTCCTCTCTTCTATGTGCAGGTTGTGTGTGTATCGTTCCAGTCACGGTATTGTGCCTTTTTTTGTTAACAAATAGCCGCATGGGAAATGCAGTATTTTCCACATGAAGTAACAGCCTTGATACGAAGGGATATTAACTCCATTTATTTGGATCAAGAGCCCTCAGCATCATTATGAATACCTACTATTAGGTGAGTCGATGTGAATAATAATTTCAGATGATAAGAATCATTCACGAAATATATGTTAAGGTAATAGGTTGGTAGACAGCAACCACCCAGGGAGGTACTACCGTCCTGCCAATTGAGTGTAAAATGGAAACCTGTAATCGTTTTACATGATGGTAGGATTGCTGGTGTCTTTTTTCTGTCTCATAAACATGCAAGATTTCAGGTACGTCTTGCTTCTTCTACTTACACTTAGGTCACACTACACATACATGTACAAGCATATATATACACACCCCTCTGGGTTTTCTATTTTCTTTCTAGTTCTTGTTCTTGTTTATTTCCTCTTATCTCCATGGGTAAGTGGAACAGAATTCTTCCTCCGTAAGCCATGCACGTCGTAAGAGGCGACTAAAATGCCGGGAGCAAGGGGCTAGTAACCCTTTCTCCGGTATAAATTACTAAATTTAAAAAGAAAACTTTCGTTTTTCTTTTTGGGCCACCCTGCCTTGGTGGGATACGGCCGGTGTGTTGAAAGAAAGAAAAGTAACAATTTAATTTATCCCAATAGTGAATGTACTTTAATATTCATGTTAAGATGAGGATTATCTTGCAGAGTCTCACTCTTGCAACAACAATGACACCGCCACTTGCCGAAGACCCAGACAAACCTTCCTTCAACCTGCCAGGGCTTCATCAGGCTGCCATGATACTGGAGAGGATGGTCAACCAAAATATCTACGATGATATAATCCAAGGTAGAATATGACTGGGTAAGAATTTTATGGACGTGAAGAATTGACCATCTGGACTTGGAACAGTGAAACTGTCTGTAGAGCACTGACATTAAAGGAATTAACATAGAACTGTACATAATCTCTCAGTCCACAGCAGAATTCGAACCTGCACACACTGTATCAAAGAAAACCGAGTGGCGAAATTACTGTGTACTTTGATACAGTGTCGAGGTTCGAATCCTGCTGTGGAATGAGAGATAATGTTTATTAAAAGTTCGCCCGTTTGCGAATTCTTAAACAGAACTGTACATGTAATAGCAAGTAGGAAGGTTCGGTCTCTAGTGTTCCTTACACAACTTTTCGGATACAGTTAGACCTTTTTTTTTCATATTAATTCCAATGTAGCTGCAGGTCATGTGGGGTCTATCACATTCCTGTGGATTCAGAATGAATTCTCAGTTAAAATTTAATATTTTTTAGTCTAGGGGTAATATTTTTTCATCTAGGGGTAATATTTTTTAGTCTAGGGGTAATATTTTTTCATCTAGGGGTAATATTTTTTTCACGTCCAGTAGTTTTCCAGTCGAATCCAACAACATGTGAACATTTTCATAATGTTATTTTAACTATACTAAAAGAACATTTAAATTTTACTTAATGACGGGATCAAAAATAATACCAAACGCTAACTAGTTTTTAATTACCATGTAGTCAGAAACTGTAAGGCTGGAGGTGATGTTCTGGTAGACAGTAATGGTGAAGCTGGAGGTGATGTTCTGGTAGACAGTAATGGTGAAGCTGGAGGTGCTGTTCCTGGTAGACAGTAATGGTGAAGCTGGAGGTGCTGTCCTGGTAGACAGTAATGGTGAAGCTGGAGGTGCTGTCCTGGTAGACAGTAATGGTGAAGCTGGAGGTGCTGTCCTGGTAGACAGTAATGGTGAAGCTGGAGGTGCTGTCCTGGTAGACAGTAATGGTGAAGCTGGAGGTGCTGTCCTGGTAGACAGTAATGTGAAGTTGGAGTGGTGCTGTCCTGGTAGACAGTAATGGTGAAGCTGGAGGTGCTCTCCTGGGTAGACAGTAATGGTGAAGCTGGAGGTGCTGTCCTGGTAGACAGTAATGGTGAAGCTGGAGGTGCTGTCCTGGTAGACAGTAATGGTGAAGCTGGAGGTGCTGTCCTGGTAGACAGTAATGGTGAAGTTGGAGGTGCTGTCCTGGTAGACAGTAATGGTGAAGCTGGAGGTGCTCTCCTGGGAGACAGTAATGGTGAAGCTGGAGGTGCTGTCCTGGTAGACAGTAATGGTGAAGCTGGAGGTGCTGTCCTGGTAGACAGTAATGGTGAAGCTGGAGGTGCTGTCCTGGTAGACAGTAATGGTGAAGCTGGAGGTGCTGTCCTGGTAGACAGTAATGGTGAAGTTGGAGGTGCTGTCCTGGTAGACAGTAATGGTGAAGCTGGAGGTGCTCTCCTGGGAGACAGTAATGGTGAAGCTGGAGGTGCTGTCCTGGGAGACAGTAATGGTGAAGCTGGAGGTGCTGTCCTGGGAGACAGTAATGGTGAAGCTGGAGGTGCTGTCCTGGGAGACAGTAATGGTGAAGCTGGAGGTGCTGTCCTGGGAGACAGTAATGGTGAAGCTGGAGGTGATGTCCTGGGAGACAGTAATGGTGAAGCTGGAGGTGCTGTCCTGGGAGACAGTAATGGTGAAGCTGGAGGTGATGTCCTGGTAGACAGTAATGGTGAAGCTGGAGGTGTTGTCCTGGGAGACAGTAATGGTGAAGCTGGAGGTGCTGTCCTGGTAGACAGTAATGGTGAAGCTGGAGGTGCTGTCCTGGTAGACAGTAATGGTGAAGCAGGAGGTGATGTCCTGGGAGACAGTAATGGTGAGGATGGAGGCGCTGTCCTGAGAGACAGTAATGGTGAAGCTGGAGGTGATGTCCTGGTAGACAGTAATGGTGAAGCTGGAGGTGCTGTCCTGGGAGACAGTAATGAAGCTGGAGGTGCTGTCCTGGTAGACAGTAATGGTGAAGCTGGAGGTGCTGTCCTGGGAGACAGTAATGGTGAAGCTGGAGGTGATGTCCTGGTAGACAGTAATGGTGAAGCTGGAGGTGCTGTCCTGGTAGACAGTAATGGTGAAGCTGGAGGTGATGTCCTGGGAGACAGTAATGGTGAGGATGGAGGTGCTGTCCTGAGAGACAGTAATGGTGAAGCTGGAGGTGCTGTCCTGGGAGACAGTAATAGTGAAGCTGGAGGTGCTGTTCTGAGAGACAGTAATGGTGAGGATGGAGGTGCTGTCCTGAGAGACAGTAATGGTGAGGATGGAGGTGCTGTCCTGGGAGACAGTAATGGTGAGGATGGAGGTGCTGTCCTGAGAGACAGTAACATTGAGGATGGAGGTGCTGTCCTGGGAGACAGTAATGGTGAAGCTGGAGGTGCTGTCCTGGGAGACAGTAATGAAGCTGGAGGTGCTGTCCTGGGAGACAGTAATGGTGAAGCTGGAGGTGCTGTCCTGGGAGACAGTAATGGTGAAACTGGAGGTGCTGTCCTGGTAGTCAGTAAATGTACGCATGAGGGAAGGCATATTAATGGCCTCGAGGGAGACAGGAGCTGTAGTGGGGAAACAAGTGTAGTCAAGGACAAGATAAAACCAATATTGCAAACTAGTAATACCACAGGAGACAGCAAACAAGGGGAATCCACTAGCAATAGTGAGAATATATTACCAGAAACAACTGGTGAGAGCTCCATTGTTAGTACTAGTGAGGACAGGAATGAGACAGGTAAACATGCACCAACAGGGAATACAGTCACAGAAACCCAAGGCAAACGGAAACCAAGCCTGTACACATATTATGCACTTGGTATCTGCAGGCATGGGAAATCTGGAAAAACTGATGGGACGTGCACCTTTGACCACCCTAGAAAATGCCTTGCCCATATGACAACATGAAAATGCAAACTCACTTCCTGTAAACCTTTTCACCCTGAAATGTGCCCCTCTTCAGTACAGGAAAGACTGTGCTCTAACTTAAATTGCCAGGCACACCATCTGAAGGGGACAAAAAGATACAAAACATCCAGGTCATGGAAAAACCTGGGTAGCCACAGCCACTCAAGAGGGAGAGGTTTTTCAGTGCCAGGAAGGAAAAAAACTGGCAGGAAATGGAGGAAATCGTACGCCAAATCCAGTCATGTCTGGAGTGGAACCACAGTCGATGGCCTCCACTCCAAACCAACAGATACAGATACTAGTGCCGGAAAAAAAAGTCCCCCCCAATACCACCAATACCACCAGTCCGATGACATTCTTCTTTGCAAATATACAGGGTCTAAGGCCAGCAACGAACAACAAAATACCATTCATCCGTGGACTGCTTGCAGAGGCAAATGCAATGTTTACGGCTTTCACAGAGACCCACATAAAGGATGACTTGGACAACGAAATATGGATCCCAGATTACAACCTATACAGATGCGACAGAGTGAACAGGCAAAAAAAGGGGGGGGGGGGTTGGCCTGTATATCACAGAGTCACATGTTTGCACAGAACTGCTTAATGCCTCAATGATGTAGTGTAAGTTTTAGCAGTAAAGATCGAGAACCAAAACCTAGTCATTGTGGTAGTCTACAAGCCTCCAGATGCAACGTCCCAGCAATTCCAGGAACAGCTGTCAAAAATTGACCACTGTCTGGAAAATCTGCCAGCTCCTGCCCCAAACATCATGCTCCTGGAGGATTTCAACTTGAGGCACCTAAAACGGAGGAATATAGCAAATAATATTGTTGCAGTGATAACACCAGGAGGCAGCTCTGACGAGAACTCACACACACACGAGCTTTTAAATGTCTGCACAAAATTCAACTTAAACCAGCAAATAATAGAGCCTACTAGACTGGAGAATACACTAGACCTCATCTTCACTAACAATGATGATCTGATACGAAATGTCACCATATCAAACACAATATACTCAGATCACAACATAATCGAGGTTCAGACATCTATGCGCGGAGCCCAAGACCGACTAAATGAGATTAGTCACGAGGGAGCCTTCACCAAATTCAACTTCAATAACAAGAACATAAAGTGGGACCAAGTAAATCAAGTCCTAAACGATATAAGCTGGGAAGATAGACTAAGCAATACAGACCCCAACTTATGCCTAGAACAGATTAACTCGGTGGCATTCGATGTATGCTCAAGGCTTATTCCTTTAAGAAAAAGGAGGAGTAGATGTAAAATAGAAAGAGACAGGCGCTCCCTTTACAGGCGACGGAAAAGAATAACAGAGCGGCTAAAAGAGGCCAATATATCTGAAATGCGTTGGGAGTCACTGGTCAGAGAAATAGCAAACATCGAACTAAAGCTAAAGGAATCTTATAGGAGTCAGGAATCGCGGGAAGAACTAAAAGCCATAAATGAAATCGAAAGAAACCCAAAATATTTCTTTTCTTATGCCAAATCAAAGTCGAGAACAACATCTAGTATTGGGCCCCTACTTAAACAAGATGGGTCCTACACAGATGACAGCAAGGAAATGAGTGAGCTACTCAAGTCCCAATATGACTCAGTTTTTAGCAAGCCGCTAACCAGACTGAGAGTCGAGGATCAAAATGAATTTTTAATGAGAGAGCCACAGAATTTGGTTAACACAAGCCTATTTGATATTATCCCGATGCCAAATGACTTCGAACATGACATGTCCATGCACTCTGCCCCAGGGCCAGACTCATGGAACTCCGTGTTCATCAAGAACTGCAAGAAGGGGACCCATATCACGAGTTTTTACCATCCTATGGATTGGGAGCATGGACACAGGGGTCGTCCCACAGTTACTAAAAACAACAGACATAGCCCCACTCCACAAAGAGGGCCGTAAAGCAATAGTAAAGAACTGCAGACCAATAGCACTAACATCCCATATCATAAATTTTTTTTAAAGGGTCCTAAGAAGCAAGATGGCGACCCATCTAGATACCCATCAATTACACATCCCAGGGCAACATGGGTTTAAAGCAGGTCGCTCCT